TTGCAGAACATTTCAGAACAAAATACTATGTGTTCGATGCTGTGTGAATGGATTCCGGCAAAAAAATAATTGATGTTGATGATGATTAAGTGTTAATGTGTTATTGATCACTACAGGAATGGTGTTAGAATACAATCTGAGAAGGGAATCTAAAAAAAAAAATGGTTGACTCCTTGTGAGTAGTATCGCAAAAGCGTCAATAAAGTTGTACACAACATGGTTGCAGAGCAGAAATGTGACGACTGCTGTAGATTCTTTATTTGAACGTTATTGATTACAAGTTTCTAAAGTTAGGAAAAACACAATATGTTGAAAACAGTAATCTTGAATCCCGGGAATGACGTCATTGCTCAATATGGCTATATTAAATGAGAGTGATTGACAATGAAACAACGCCCAGAACATTTAGATAGTTTGTTTACGTCGGCGCAATTTTTGTATAAATAGGCCATCAGATAGTTGGAACACTCATACCATCGGTAGAAACTCTTAGAAGCGGTTCAATTTTGTAAGTACTGTATTTTACATATCTCTGTTATTTATCCCGTGGGTATCTGTTCCTGTGTTAGCATATATACAGTAGCATGCCTAATACTGTATAGTACAAATTCGCTAAATATAATATTGTTTTTTTTTTTCTATTTCTGTAATCAATACATTTACTTGAGATTTTAGACTAACGTCACTAAATTTTGCTCCGGGCTGTAGAGCTCCCCATTGTACAGTTCAGACGCTTGTTGGTTCATACTTACAATAATTAGCAATACATGTCCTCACTGACAACGAAAATGATCTTCCAGGAAATTGCTATATTTAAAACCTTAACAATCACTTAAGCAAAACAAATAGCTTTTGCTCCATTCGCTTACTAGTGAATTGCTCTACATTTGGTAAACTTGAGATACAAATTATTCCTTAAAAGTGGATTCAAAAGCATTATTTATTATTCTAATAGTTAAACATATATATTCTCATTGGAGTTACAAACAAGTAATTCACCTCACTGCATTATTTATCCTTGAACAGAAAACAACACCAGTTTGGTGCGTAACTAAACTGTTTTTATCAACACTACATCCCTCACATGTTCAAAATAAAATTTAAAAACAGCTGACATGCGCACAGAAAGCAAACCTTAGCACTAAAATTGGTGTAAGTACAATGACGTCAAAACTAATCTTGAACGTACTATCTATATTTCTGTTTCTAACTACGGAAAAAACTTAGTTTGAAAAAAAGCAGCCATGAATCACAGTAGTTCATCAACGTGTATACTTGCTAACAATCATTGGACAATGCACATTGTATTCTTTTATATACGTGGTGTGATTATTTCATGCGCACTAATTTAAAAACAGCAATTCCACGTGGTTACACTTATCATTCATGTTGTTTTATCACTTAGAAATCACGATAATCAAGCACAATATGCTGCTTTTTGTTACTTTACTCGCCATTGTCGGCGCCACGTATGCCCAGCATCCCTCCGGAAATCTCAAAGGTAAGAAGTGCCATGTATGATCTAAATTGAATAATTTATTTATTTAACTGGAAGTCAAATAATCAACTAAATCGATCGTAGGAAACGTTTCAAATCATTCGTTTATAGTTTAGTGTGTATAATAATTTTGTTGTTTGGTTGTTTAATTATTTGAACATTTATTATTAATATGTTGGAGTATAAAAAACTCAAATAACAAAATTTATAGATTTGTATTATACCTGTAACTCGCAAATATACCACGCTGCATTATGTAGTTTTGTTTTGTTTCTACAGTATTTGACTATACAAGTTGTTACTGTTGGAGATATGAAGTATTCTGCAGAACTGAGGATTCAGACTGGCAGTGGGCTAAGGACGAGTGTGAAAGCATGGGTGGTTGGATAGCAACTATCGACAAGAAGAAGACTCATCAAGAAATACGAAAACTGATTCGGGCACAAGCAGACAATAAGGTTTGCAGTAACTATGGATTCTGGATCGGTCTACATGATGCTCGTGACCCTAAAACATCGCGACATAAGCAACAGCCAGGATTGTTGTCGTGGGTACATGAACAGTGCCACTATTTCGAGGTCTGGGAAAAGAATCAACCCAATGACAACGATACACAGGGTAGCGCAGGACAGAATTGCGTTCAGTTGTGGTAAGTACAACCGTACACTGAAATACAAGTAGTTTTGTGGTAACCATTTATATGTCAGAACTTTCGCTCAAGTCATACTCTCGAAACATCTGACACACTGTTCAATATAACAAACTGTGCTTGTTGTCACAATAGTACAGCGCTATGTGTTTATTACATGTTATAAATTACGTTTCACGCGATGAATAGTTTGGTTATAACATGAATATATTCTTTTTCTGGTTACAATCATCATATATCAATGTGCTTTTATAGAGAGTTAAGTGTTCGTGCTATGAAACATTGAACTGGTTCTATCCCGGAAATCGATCCCCTGGCTCTACCAATTTTCAGATGTACATTGACGCTAACTTTACTTTGTTCTATTCTTTGTTTTCCAGGTACAGACCAGGCAAAAAAGGCAACTATGACGATGAATATTGCGGTGAACCTAAGGGATACGTCTGTCAGTTTCAGGAAGGTAAGCAAAATAATGTCACACTTAACCTAAGCATTTATAGGCATTAAAACATAACACACTTTGGGATTACATTATTTTCTACCGAGATTCCATTTTTCCATTAAATCCGATGAAGATTGTTCTCCCTAAATGAAATAATTCAAAAATCTCGAAGTAAATATTTGTTTGAAATATACTGATGTATACTGATGACAGTTTGCTTTAATCATAACATTTAACACGGATAGTGGAAGAAGCCATCCAAATTCTCGTGCTACACTCTTGTTAATCACTGTGATGTTTTGTATTGCAGAATGTCCATGTATCAATCAAGTCTTGGAGTAAAGTGTGGAAAATCTTGCGACAAACAACCCAAACTCGTTGAATGTTTCCCCATGACAATAGTACGAAAGAAGTATTACAGCGTTTATCCAATATATGATGCATGACTATGAATATATCTATGTGAAGGGAATTTGTATAAGTGTAACAACATATTGACACGTGTTTTGGGTTGACTTGAATGGTAATAAAGAAGAATATACTGACAATTTTTATGTTTATTATTATTATATATATATATTATATATATATCCAGTATATCCAGTGTTGCAGAAATATGAGTTTGTAATGTCATATAGATCAGATAATTTAACAAGTGTATTTCGATCTGATACTTAACACACGGTTTTATAGAATATGCAAATGCAATGTGTTCTTTTTCAAAATTTGTTTTTGTAAATTTTGAGCAATATATGTAAACATCATCAAAATATTACTGAATTACCATATCATTGCAACATAAAACAGCCTGTTGAAATATATATCTTGAAGATGCAGGAGATGTCTCTCACAAGTCACGATCGTCCTTTTTTTTCCTTTTTTTTGTAAGTTGCAGTCTGTTCACAGGCAATAATGCCTGGCATAGTTGTGTCGGTTTAATCCCATGGCGAACATCGTGTTTGACGCATTGCTACAAGAAAAAAGACTACATTATCAACAATCCCATACCCCCTTTTGTACAATAACAAGACATAATATTCCAAGGAAAACAATACATCCCCTAGAATCTATTTATTTGTAAACTTCCCTGACTAAAGTTTGAAGTAAGACTATCGTAGTTGTTCGAGTATGAAATTAGGGGGGAGGGGGATTATAAACGGATACAAGTTAAAAAATGCTAATTTATTCATAAACAAATCGTCATGTGTACATGAGTGTCTTCATCGACCATCATCGTCCAAATTAACTTGAGGATCGGCCGTTACGCCCCGGGGTCACTGATCACTTTTATGAGCGGTTTACTAAGTGGGACAGCATTCGACCCTGCGTTTCACGTGGATGTTGATCTGTACGTTTTGGGGTAACGAAACTATATTCTAAACGATGTTTCAAATAAAAACATTACAACTGCATTGTGTAGTAACAAATGATCACGGTTGCGCAATCCGGTCATGCTGCGTTTCACAGTTGTTGATAATTACTCAGTAGTAATAATATACAAATAACGTAAACAAAATTCTGGTAAGCAAATGATTTCGGTCGCATATAAACGTTCGATGCTGTCGGGTATCCGCCATGTTCTTTCTCT